AGTGTGAAATCATGCGGCCAGAGCACTCAGAGCATCCAGAGCTTACTCGGAGACAAGTGGGAGACAAATGGGAGACAAGTGTGAAATCATGCGGCCAAGCACTCAGAGCATCCAGAGCTTACTGGGAGACAAGTGGGAGACAAGTGGGAGACAAATGGGAGACAAGCCTGAAATCATGCGGCCAGAGCACTGAGAGCATCGAGAGCTTACTGGGAGACAACTGGGAGACAAGTGGGAGACAAATGGGAGACAAGCATAAAATCATGCGGCCAGAGCACTGAGAGCATCCAGAGCTTACTGGGAGACAAGTGGGAGACAAGTGGGAGACAAGTGGGAGATTACACCACCGTAGACCCCAAACAGTTTGCGCTTTTCAAACCGAAACTAGAGCTTGCGACGCCCAGAGCTGGGAGACAAAGGATTGCGTACAGAGCGGGCGGACACATCTTAAGAAAGAATTGACAAGCCCCAACAGCAAACCTTTTGGGGAATTATTCTTCAAGTGCGAACATGATGCTGGTCATGCTGCTCAATCAGCGGGGAGCTGACCACGTGAGGACAAGAAATAAAAGCATGAGGAGCGAAGGACGTGACATGAAACTGGTTTTTGGTGCCTGACGTATGCCCTCCGTCCCAACTGAACGCCGAAATCCAATCCGGTCATTCATCCAACGCTTGCCCGAAAAGGGAAACAAAGCTGAGAGAGTTACACAGTGTGGCAGGAATGCAATCCCGGAGACAATCACGCACCCCTTTCAAAGGAGCAAGAACCTTTCACAGGTGAACCTGTTCCAGCGGACAGGGCAGAAAACACCAGCGCAGAAGAAATCACATGGGAGACAAATGAATAGAAATGCTACATGGCCAGCGGAAAAGGGCGGACACCAGCAGTGACAGATGTGGCAGACAAATGAATAGAAATGCTACATGGCCAGCAGAAAAGCCAGCGGAAAAGGGCGGACACCAACAGTGACCAACCTTGGAAACAAATGAATAGAAATGTTGCATCGCCAGCGGAAAAGGGCGGACACCGCAAGTGACAGACCTGGGAGACAAATGATGAATAGAACCAGCGGAAAAGGGCGGGCCGGCAGTGACAGACCTGGAAGACAAATGAAGAGAAATGTTGCATGGCCAACGGAAAAGGGCGGACACCACCATTGACAGACCTGGGAGACAAATGACTTAAGGCCAGGGGAGGAGGTCGAAAGCTAGCCGAATTGCACCGGATGTACTAGTTACATAGTCGGCAAAGCATGTAGTGATTACATGTTTTGGGAGAAAGGTTGCTACGTACACACTTTGCGCTGAAGAATGTAAATGTGACATCGCCGACTGGGAAGGGTACATTGGAACAACACGGGCGGACTCGTTGGCAGGCACGAAGGGGGGTAAATTTACCCCCCGCTTTTGTATGCCTTGAGTCGAAAAGAGGGGTAAGCATTTCTGACATCACACGGACTGTACATACACTGGGCGTCCGTAGTGTAGGAGAAGCACGGGTAAAGGGTATATGGAATATAGAGTGTCTTGAGGAAATAGCCGGCTTATGGTTATTGCAATTCTGGTGGTTGAATTTTTAAATTTACCCACCGCTTATGTATGCCTTGCGCCGGAAAGAGGGGTAAGCATTTCTGGATATTTCTGGCATCACAAGGACTGTGCATACACTAGGGCGTCCGCAGTGTAGGATAAGCACTGGTAAAAGGTATAAGGAGTAGAGTGTCTTGAGGAAATAGCCGGCTTATGGTTATGGCAACTCTGGGGGGTAAATTTACCCCCCGCTTATGCATGCATTAGGTTAGAAATAGGGGTAAAGAACTTGTAACAGTGAAGTACAAGTCCGGAGACAAGCCAGCCGGGAACCCGACCACAAGCACCCAGGGAGACAAATGAAAAGAAGT